CACAGATTGTGGATGATGCCACTGGCTGGGATGTTCCCAAGCTCCACCCACAGGCCAACAAAAGGAGACCCAGCTCACAATGGGTTGCGGAAGATGGCATTGGCTGGGACGTTCAAAGACACCTCATGGGGATGACCACGGAGCAGGTCAAACTCATGCTATGCCAGGGGTCATGGTACAAGTGAGGGGTTTGGGGAGGGGCAGACAGAACTGATAGCCTGCCCACTGTATGGGCGGAGCTTATTTAGTGGGCGGAGCTTGGAAGAGCGGCATGAACTATTTCTTCTCCAATTTGCTCTCTGAGTCCCTGAGCCAGGTCTTGGGCTGCCCGCTGGAAGTGCCTTCCTCAGGTGGGACCTCTGCCAATCTCCCAGGCCTTGTTATGGCCAATCAGGGGAAATAGAGCAAAGCGGAGCCGGTGCAACTATTGTTTCATTGTGCTCCTGTGACATTCTATACCGTGGGGGAGTGTACTGTGACCCCCATATTCCTCATGGTCATATAATCATGATCTTACATATAAAGCGTGCCTTGTAAGGTATCAGGGGAGAGGTTATGATCTGCTGAAAGTCACTTCTCTATCCATAGATGTGTATCATTAATGCAGATGAAGTTATGAGAATTGTGTTGTATGGTGGTCACTAAAACATGCTGTAAGTTGGGGAATCTGCCAGATATTTGCTTCCCCAGGGGCAACAGCAAGGAAAGTAACCAAGGTCCGGGCTGGTGTCAAACAACCCATCAACAGCCATTGTCCAGCAATGGAGCTACAATGCAAGGACTCACCTGCATGAGGCCACACCAGGGGAATTGCGCAACCTTGCCTGGGGACTCAGCAATGCCCCAGACATGCCTGGACTTGTGTTCTACAAGCACATGGACTGAGGGTATAAAACAACCAGAGCGGACACATACTGGGCCCTTCGCCTGCCCCCACCTATGCTGCAAGCCACCAAGACACTGAGAAGAAGACAAGAGTCCAACACAGGAGACTGGCCCAGGTTAAAGGAACAAACCTGTATATTAAGAACTGCAATATCCAGTGGGGTGAGAAAAACTGCTTCATCTAGTTGCTGCCCAGTTTAATAGGGCTGAGAGTTTAGACTGCGTGCTTAGATTTTATTTTATTTTGGTAACCACTCTGACTTGTTACGTTTTGACTTATAATCACTTAAAATCTCTCTTTCACAGTTAATGAATCTGTTTGTTTGTTCTACCTGGAACCGTGCGTTTGGTTTGAAGTGTGTCAGAGACTCCCCTTGGGATAACAAGCCTGGGACATATCAATTGCTTTGTTAAACTGATTAACTCATATAAGCTTGCAGCGTCCAGCGGGCATAACTGGACACTGCAAGATGGAGGTTCCTAGGGTTGTGTCTGGGACCGGAGATATTGGCTAGTGGATTCGGTTGCACAATCCAAGGAGCAGCTTTAGGCCAGAGGCTGTGTGTGAACAGCCCAGGATTGGGGGTTCTCACAGCAGAGCAGGGTAAGGCTGGCTCCCAGAGTCAAGGATAGGAGTGACTAGCAGATCACCAGTCCGGATAACAGCAGAGGGGAACATCACAGCTCCCCAGTCTGAGTCCACCCATTGTCTCAGTTCTTGCATTCAGCTTGCAAACTCTTTGGGGTAACACAGCTGGAGGACGCTTGGGGCCAGCTGGGTCTGCTGTCCACCCACCAGTGCACCAAAAAGGGTCATGCGTGATCGCCGCTGAAAGCTGTTTTCCATGATCATTGCAACACTTGTGCAAGATGCTTACGTGCGGTATTATCACCAGCCCCTGAAAGTGATGGCCGGAAAAGTGATCCACACGTTCTGTTCACACAGGGGAGGTGGGAGGAGGAGACGTTTCTCTTGCGCTGGCTGCGCATTGTGTGTCTTCCAAAGTATGGCCGTCTGCACATGAAGCCGCGGGTAATCGAGTCGGCAAAGTGGACAAGAGATCGCAACGCCTACGGACAGAACGCACAGCAGGAAGGGGGACGGTTTATGCCTAAAATCATTGAATCGGGCTGGTATATCGGGGTCGCAGTAGTACACCCCGTTCGTTATCCTTTACCCAGGAGACAAGCAGCCAGCTGGTTTGTCTTAGGAACGGAGGGGCACGGCCAGTCCCAGTCTGATGCTGGGAGAGACACATTGGGTGAGCTGACCTGGATGAGCTGGGGGACTGTCCTGTTGTTGGTTAAGAGCATGATGGCTCTATTTTATCCATCAGCCTTTGTCTCCATTCCTTCCACTTGCTGTTTCTCAACGCCGCTGGTCTTTGTGAAATCAACGACTTCATGCTCCGGCTCTAGCCAGACTGATGTGCTCTGGGCTGGGCCGAGCGGTGATGTGGGGTGGAACTGGGAGGCACTGCCTAGTAAAGGTACCTGCCTGATCCCCATTGCTGGGGCATCTGCTGCCTCAGTCTTTCATGTCTGTATCCTCACAACCTGCGAGGTAGGGCAGGGCTAGTATCGCCATTGTTCATGTGGGGAAACTGAGGCACAAGGTGACAGGCTTCCCCCCAACTTAGCCTGGAAAGTGTTTCTGAGGCACAGAAGAGGCTGGTTAACCTGAGGGATGGGGCCACCGGAACAGGGAGGCCATGGCCCCATCACTTTTTACCGGCCAGAAACGCAAGTGACGGTGGGGGAGGGGCAGAGACGAGCGAGCGGAGGGCAGGGTCTCAAGGGAAGGGGCAGTGTGAGGGCGGGGCCTCGGGGGGGAGGAACGGCGCAGGGATGGGGCCACAGTTGGGGTGCCGGCGGCCTCCCCACTTTTAGGGAGCTTCCAATGCCCCTGGAGGATTAGGTTTGATGAGCCATCATTGCTGGAGAATGGAGCACATCTGGGCAGGAGCAGGTGGGGCTGGCACAGGCCGAGCAGCGGGGGCTGAAGGAGGCTGCAATGTAGGAGCTCGGCAGGCAGTCTCTGGGCTCTGGGAGGGGAAAGGAGAAGCCCGGAAGGAAGGGTGCACCCAGAGAGGTGCTGAAGACGGAAAAGGGTCCAGGAAAGAGAAGCCATGTTTGGGACGGTAAAGACCCAGGCCGCTGATTCAAGGGTCCCCGAGCTGCAACCTGGAGTTGCAGGTGGGCCCAGGTTCCTCTACCAGCCCCTGGGAAAGTGGCGCAGTCCGGGCAGTGAATTGGGAGTTTGTACGGAGACCCTTTGATAGGGTTACCATACGTCCGGATTTTCCCGGACATGTCCGGCTTTTTGGTCCTCAAATCCCCGTCCGGGGGGAATTTCCAAAAAGCCGGACATGTCCAGGGCAATAGGGAGGCATGGTAAGGGGATCGCCTCCACCCCGGGCTCCAACTTTCCGGGGCCAGGCAGTGGCTGTTCGTTCTCCCCACCTGGGCAGCCGGACTCGGGAGCAGCCCTGCTGCAGCTCCCACTGCCGCGGGGGGAAGCGGCCAAGCATGTGGTGCTCGGCGGCTGCGGCTCTGGCGCCCGGGGCGTGAACCCCCTGAGCCCGGGCCTGCTGCGGGGACCCAGCTGGTGCAATCCTGCGGGCAGCTCCGGAGTGGGGGCAGCAGGCCCCAGCCCCGCCCCCCCCGCCCCCCGTCCTGCTCGGGTCCTGCAGGGGAACGAACGGGGCTGGGCT